CTTGACCTTGGAGGTAGGGGAGCAGGTGTTGTGCATGACATAAGGTCTTATTATTGAGACTATTTGTGCCAAATATTTTTCAAAATCCCTTGAACTATGAAGAAGTTATAGATTGGACACAAAATATACCCTATAACAGACTATGTAAATCTTTAACCTCTAAGTGTGACATTGACCTGGGAGGTAGGGACACAGATGTTACGCATGACATATCATCTAATCATTGTGACTATTTGTGCCAAGTATTTTCAAAATCCCTTAATCTATGAAGAAGTAATGGACGGGACACAAAATATACCAAATAACAGACTCTGTTAACCTTTGACCTCTAAGTGTGACCTTGACCTTGGAGGTAGGGGTGCAGGTGTTGTACTTGACATATCGTCTGATTATTGTGACTATTTGTGCCAAGTTATTTCAAAATCCCTTGAACTATGAAGATGTTCTAGATCAGACACAAAATATACCCTATAACAGACTATGTTAATTTTTTACCTCTAAGTGTGACCTTGACCTTGGAGGTAGGGATGCAGGTGTTGCGCATGACACATCCTCTTATTATAGTGACTATTTGTGCGAAGTATTTTCAAAATTCTTTGATCTATGAAAAAGATATGGACCGGACACAAATATACCCTGTAACAGACTATGAAAGTATTTGACCTCCAAGTGTGACCTTGACCTTGGAGGTAGGTGACCGGTTTTTGCGCATGACACATCGTCTGATTATTGTGAACAATTATTGCAAGTATTTACAAAAATTCCTTCATAGATAAGAGTTATGGACCGGACACGACATATACCCTCAGATAGACAATGTTGACCTTGAATGAGCAAGTGCAACCTTGACCCTGGAGGTAGGGGTCTGGTTGTTGCACATGACACATCGTCTTATTATAACAAACATTTGTGCCAAGTTATTTCAAATTCCTTTGATAAATGACAAAGTTATGGACCGGACACGAAATATACCCTGTAACAGACTATGTTAATATTTGACCTCCAAGTGTGACCTTGACCTTGAAGGTAGGTGACTGGTTTTTGCGCATGACACATCGTCTGATTATTGTGAACAATTTTGGCAAGTATTTACAAAATCCCTTCCTAGATAAGAAAGTTATGGACCGGACACGACATATACCCTCAAATAGACAATGTTGATCTTGAATGAGCAAGTGCGACCTTGACCCTGGAGGTAGGGTTCTGGTTGTTGCGCATGACACATCGTCTTTTTATAATAAACATTTGTGCCAAGTTATTTCAAATTCCTTTCATAAATGACAAAATTATGGACCGGACACGAAAGTGTGACGGACGGACGGACAGACGGACACAGCCTATTTCTATATCCCCCTTTTTTCTTCGAAAAGGCGGGTGACAATAAATAAATAAATAAAATAAATAAATAAACAAATAAATAAATAACGATAAAAACCACACACACACACACACACACACATACACACGCACACGCGCACGCGCACGCGCGCACACACACACACACACACACACACACAACAACAACAACAACAAAAAACAAAAGCAGAATCCTTTTAAAAGAACGCACAAGACCGCAAAATTAAAAATGATGCAGATTCGGTATCGTCTAATCATGGTCTCCACTGTTCGCTATTCAGTCAGTACATGTTCTGAAATTTTTCCCTAAAAAAGGATGAATGGCATCGTCCAGACAGAAAGATAGACAAGTCAATTTGAATTTTGAGCGTGTTAAGGGTTAGTCATAAGGCATACTCATTTGACATAAAGCATGGTGAAGTTAGACACAAAGACATTATCATTGTTTTTGTTTTCTTCCACGTAATGGAACCCAACGGCGTTCGGTGATTATTCCATATCGTGACAGAAGAAATTCTCGTCTGTTAAACAAAATTACTTCCGGGCTGCGGAAATGTTTTATCAAGTAAGTAAATATTTAGTCTAGAAAACGTAAAACCTCTATGTTGCCATTAAAAATATACATATAATAAAGAAGGTTATTTCTTATTTCCAAGATATCATGACGACGAAAATGAAAGGAAAAAAACATTACTTACTTTTCTGTTCCTTTTATCTTTGAAAATGACTGCAAATGCTATTATAAGGAAAAATTAGTGGAAAGATCACATCATAGTTGAAAATCCAATCTGACTAATGTTAAGATCTACTTATTTCTTACATAAAGATCTGATTGCTAGCGTATTTGTTTCGCCTTCATTGTGTTTCGGATTTCCCGAGAAAGCTATTTTAGCCATGCAATCAAACCGTCCTTACCGACAGACAATTTATTAGACGAAGCATCAAAATATTGTTGTCCGTGGAAGTAAAACAAATTGTTAATTTTTGTTAGAAAAAAGTGTCTGAAGTAATTTGAAAGAAGTAAACGGGAAATAATGAACTCGATTATTAATGGGCAAGTTTGTTTACCTGCCGGCTATAAGGATAACGCCATGTTTGTTCTCGAAATTGTGAAAATTACCTACTCAGTATTGGTTTTTCAGCGGTTAAAAATAGAAACCGCATCGCTTTCAAAATTGTAAAAGCTCGTCGATGATTGGCTGTTTGAAAGATCACGAGAAGGTGACAAATTATTGGTGGTCGTCAGATCCTAATGCATAGTGTTATTTAGGAACAGATTTTAATCACATTGGTCGAATTTCTAGCGTTTAAATAAATATCTCGACTTAACTCTGAGCAATGCTACATGTCAATTAATGTAAGGTCTATGGTATGTACATGTAGTTTTTGATAATAATATTTAAATTTAAAGTGTATAAAGTTATTTAACTGTTGTATGTAGTTTACATTTTTTGTTTGTTTTATTTTTAAAAAACGAAAAATGCCATGAATATCTGTATGAAAGATATATGTTTGATTTGTTTTGCCAAAAGAGCGAATTGTGTATGCAAGAGATGTCAAGAAATACGCTTTAATAATGGTTTCGAGGAAGCGGGCAATTCAATATTAATACAACGATGCTTTATTTCATCAAGCTAAAAATAATCAGTAGTTTATAATAGAAAAGTAGATGAAATAATTCTGAAAGGCTATCAAATGAACTTTCTTCCGTTTTGATGAGTGATAGACGGTTTTCCATTAGAGATATTAACCCTTCTCAAGACTTCAACATATTTAACATATTAGAATATTCACTCTGTCCTGAATAAATATCATCTTGATAATTTCGTATTTATCTGTTTGTACAGATGCTTAATATATTAGGATCGAGATTTGCTATTTTATGTAGTACTATCTTTAATAGCGTCGTAATTCGAAAAGTTCACATTTTGTAGCTTACGTTTATTTGTTAGGTTTAAAGTCATACCGATACTGTAAAGGTCATATGGCGACTTTCCAGCTTTTACTGGGAGGGGGAAAGGGGAGCACATAGGTTCATCATTGCATTTTTTCATGACTGAGCGGCCACCTTAGTAGGATCATCAATCTTCCATAAGCTAGCTGTATAGCTTCCTCGCATGAAAGAATACGGAGAACATAGGGGATTCAAACCAACAGCGGTGATGGCCAGCTTGAGGTCGACGATCCATAACCACTCGGCTACGAAGGTCCCTGTCTGTTTTCCATTTATTCCTGTCAGTTTCATTAACTAAATCGTTTTAGAAAGAAACCAAGCTGCTAGCTTATACAAATATAACTCCATAGCAACGGAAGTCATTGGATCCCTGGGAATGACAGGTGCCGGAAATCAATGACAATGTGCTACGGTAAAATTTAAGATCACAAACATGTCTAAAATGGCTTCAGAAAAAGCTATCTGACTGTAACACCTTAAAATAATTAGTGATTATATTAAATTGGTACATGGTTGAAGCAGATTTACAGAATAAAGTCTGTTATTTCTCACCGAATGAACAAAAGTTTACATGTATTATATAGCGAACATGAAAAGAACATGACAAGGGTGAACAATCTTGAAACTGAATTACGTAAGCATTTATAAGCATGTTTCTTTTTTAACTGGAAAACACTATGTTAATCTAATTATACTTTATAAGTCATTGCATGAAATAATAATTTATGTATTTTTGTCGTGAAACAACAATATTCATCTGTTTTACTAAGTATGATAGTTTTAATGTAACAAGAAATTAAGACCACATGTAGTGTTTGGTCTCTCTTTTTAGTAGCCTTTGATCACAGACTCGATTGTATAAGTAATTTGAAGTCCGCGTTTTCGACCACTAAATCACAGAGGTAATCACGATTATCGCATTCATTTTTCAAGGATAGCAATGGTCCCTTGTATCACGGATTTATAAATCCGTGCTTGTATCTTTATAAAACTAAAACAATACAAGTTTTGCATGCTTCCTTATTTAGTTTGTAAATGATTTCCAAATCAAACTACATCAGTACCAATACACTAACACTCAAACTAATAATCTGACAAAGTCAATTCAGTCATTTACAAATTATTTTATTCACAATTGATTAATTTATCTTGACACAAACATGAAATGAATGTCGTGTATAAAATATACATTATTGTATGATTATGAATATGTACAATTTGATCAATGATAAAAAGAAAATATCTAGTAACATATAAATTGAACGAATTACATGCATAAAGTTCTCAAAAAATCGTAAGCAGTACCAAAATTTAGTAAAGAAAAAAATAATTTCCATCATGCATTACTGATGCAATTTTAAACTATGCATTACATTCACATTTAATTTTACCCAATTAATTCCAATTAATTACCGATACAACATTATCATGATTATTTTGGGCATTTAAAAATACAATATTGTATCATGCATTACAGATCTATTTTTTTCACATTGCATTACATGACCTTGCACTTGACATTACAGATACAATATTCTATCATAAAATATAGATAAAGTTTTGCATCATGCATTACAAATACAATTACTAGCAAACTACACATACTTTACTTTCTTAATCTAATTCACTAATTTAAAGGAAGATCTGTTACAAGCCCCAAACTCATTTAATATCAGTAAAACCAGTTAAACCAGTATCTATATTTATTAAATACAATAAATCAATACATTCTTTCAACAACAATTTCAGGTAAGTTCCTTTCCTTTGATAATGATATCAGGTAATGTTCTTCCCTTCAAACAATGATTCACGTTAGATCTTCTCCATCAACAAAGATTTCAGGTAACATTCATTCCTTAAACTGTGTTATCATGTAAAATTCATTCTTAAACAGTGAAATCAGGTAAAGTCCATTCTTCAACAGTGATATCATACAAAGTTGATCATTCAGCAGTGAAGTCAAGTCTTAAAACAGTCATGTCATTTTAAATTCATTTTTAACAGACATTACAGTCTATCCTACAAATAAAATTTTTTTCACAGATAAATTCCATGTTGTTAAACCATGATCACAAGCACAAGTCCATTCCTTCTACAATGTTTTCAGGTAAAGTTAATTCTTAAACCAGTTGCTTCATGATTGGTCCATTCTATAAATCAGCAGATTAGGTAAAGTTAATTTTTAAAACCAGGGGTGCTAGGGCAGGTCCATTCTACAGAGATTACCAAGTTTATTTTTACAACCGGGGGTTCCAGGCTGGGTCCACTCTACAGGCCGGGTCCATTCTACAGAGATTATTATGATTACTTTACAACCAGGGGTGCCAGGCTGGATCCATCCTGCACAGATTATCATGACTGTTTGCTGCAGCTACCAGCGTGTTCACACGGCTTTCAGCTCCCTCAAATGTTGCTAAATCTGAAAATATATGTATTTAGCGCATAATGAAAATGTTAAGTTCTATCATAACATAGAATGTTTATCTTTTTGAATGAAGTTGCCGATCTCAAAATCAAAATATAGTATCACCCTATCTATAAATTTGATTAAATTTATTTGAATGTGATATTCAGTGGACCACAGTGATGTTACCCGTGTCAAGTGAACTGTGCCATAGTTTAACAAGCCATAAATTATGACCAGTTTCTGTTGTTAAGGTATGTTCCCTGTAACAATCTCAGGAATTATTGATGATTGTTTTTTTGTTTGTTTTTTTTTTAAATTCATTGAAAGTCGTGTAATAACATTACTCAAGTAGAACTTGTGATTTTTTTTACTTTAAAACCATAATTTTACTTCAATTTAAACATAATTATTTTAGCTCCATTGCGAAACAAGTTTTTGCGACCATTGAGCCCTTTAACTTTGATTAAAAGATTACAAAAAGAAAACCTACTCTGTAATCTAGTTGTTATAGCAGATACAGCTTTGTTCACCATGGTGATGAGTTGCTCCCCTTCCATCTCTGATGGCTCTGTACCCGGATTTACCTCCTCCTGCTTCTGTAATATTAGAAAAATAGACTTTAATAAACACCCTAGTTATAAATTTAAATATTTCCACTACAGCCAATATCATTATGAATTAAGTGGTGTCTGGATTAGCTAGAATTTGAAGTACAATTTCAATTATTACATCTTCCTAAACAGTTATAGTAACTTTTCTTTTTTAATTGGTTGGGTTTGAAAGTCATATCAACACTTAATGGTTAAGTGGAGACTTCCCAGCTTTATTGGTGGAGAAAGAACTCTTTATATTAGGCAAAAACAAGCATCCAAGTAGAACCACAAAACATCTGTATGCTAGCTGGATAGCTTCCCTTCATGGCCAATGATATCCTGATTTATAAGTCAGTTTACTAAAATACAATAAATTTTCAAGAATTTCATTTTGAAAACCTATATTGAGCAACTCGATCACACCAAAAAACAAGAGTTGTGGGTAGGCCAGTGTGCTTGATAGTAAATCAAGACCCTGGATAAAGAAGAATTTAGTAAGTTCAAAAAGGGTCATAATTCTGTCAAAACTGGGGATAGATTCATTGGTCTTGGAAAGTGACCTCCTATTATGCTCTCAAAAAAGTGTAAGAAGTTTCAACCAATTCCCTCCTTTAGTTTTGGAGATACTAACTTCCATGCAAAAATTTAACCAAAGTGTGAAACCAACACCTGGGTGTGTAAATTAGCTCTCACTATTCTTCAAATAGCCGAGCTAATAATGTTTCAATTATTTTAGATACTGAATCGGTTAGAAGAAAAATCCTACAGGTTACCTAACACTAAAACATTGAAATTTGGACTGAGCAATAAAATTTGGACAGAGCAATGTGCTTTTGTCAAACATTTGGTGTCAAAAGTCTGTCCAGTTAAAAATCTGGAAAATATTAGTTAAACATAACATAATTTATACCTTTTTGTGCCATGTGATGTACTCATCTCTAAGAATAGCTCTTAGGAAACTTGGTAGTTTATACTGTGGCTGTACAAAACATCTTGCAGTGGATATCATAGAGGCAGTCAGAGGCCCTGTGACCCCTGTAGAGGTCAGGAACTCAGCAATGTTAGGGGTCAGCCTAAATGGTACTGGTCTGTTGGCATCCAGGTCTCCTGGAAAAGTAGAGAATACAGTCAGTGTTATGACAGGAATTGTTATGTGTGAGTATGCATCTACCTCAATTTTTATAATTACATGTATATCCACTCAACTGTTTTATCTGGGATTATTTTAGGCTGGTTATATAGCCAATATTGATTGCAAATAGCATCTTTTTTTCTTCTTTAATTCTTAAACTTAATTCTGTATTGAAACAGATGCTCCAACTATGATTATTGTTGTAAAGTAAAACATGCTGTAAACATTAAGAACAAGGTTTCTTTTTCTTTTTTTAATTTGAATCTAATCTGGCTGGTTACCTAAAGTTCCAATTCTAAGCAAAACACCTAAAACTAGAAATGTGTCCATAGGACACGGATGCCCCCACACGCCACTGTTCTGTCAATCTTATGACTCTAGGTCAAATATTTTTTGGACTACATGTGCCACAAGTTGAAAACTAAAAACCAACAAAGGGCCATAATTCTGTTAAATTTGGTCGCAGCAAAAATTCCTTCCTTTACTACTATCTACACATTAAGGTTGTTCATCCCTGGAAGTTTAAGCAAAATCTGCCATCCGGTTTAAGAGGAGTTGCATTCACAAAATTTCTACATAGTATATAGTGAAAAAATCAACAAAGGGCCATAATTCTGTTAAATTTGGTCGCAGTAAAAATTCCTTCCTATACAACCATCTACACATTAAGGTTGTTCATCCCTGGAAGTTTAAGCAAAATCTGCCATCCGGTATAAGAGGAGTTGCGTTCATAAAATTTCTACAAAGTATATAGTGAAAAAACCAACAAAGGGCCATAATTCTGTTAAATTTGGTCGCAGCAAAAATTCCTTCCTTAACTACTATCTACACATTAAGGTTGTTCATCCCTGTAAGTTTAAGCAAAATCTGCCATCCGGTTTAAGAGGAGTTGCGTTCACAAGATTTTGGGACGTATGGAGGGACGTACGGACAGACGGACGGACGGACTGACACTCGGACGAAGTGCAACGCTATATGCTCCCACTCTGTGGGGGCATAAAAATCCCAAATCAAATACTGTACAGGTCATGTTCCCAAAATGTTGTGGGGAAAAACAAAACAACAACAGTAGTTCATGTTTTATCTAATATAAGTCTTTAAGATAATGGATTTTCATATTTGAAAACTTTATCAGATTATTATAATTAAAAAAATTCTTATTTGGTTGTTTGGTTTTCAAGTCACATTTTCACTGTAAATGAAATCATAAATGAAGACCTAAAAGAATTCAAACTCACAGCAAACTTTTATGTCTGACTGTGAGACCACCTGGCAACTAAGCCTCCACAAACTCACCCTTACAAACATCATCCTCCATCTTTACCTGTAAGAATTAAATTGCAAAGTATTACCGTAAATTTTCCCATACCTGACTGGTCATCGATATCAAACTTGAAGTAGGAGATGTTAATATAACCACAATCTTGATGTAGGTACATCATGTCGGGATTCATTCTCGTCAGATGTAACACAAACTCGGCAAAACCCATCAATGCCAACTGTACAGTAAACTGCAAATATACACATATATCATTGGAAAGATGCTTTGAAATTTAATACTAAAAGCCTTCATGAATATATAACGGGCTGCAAGCTGCATTCGAAGGGGATCAGTGGCCTACTGGTTAAGATGTCTGCCTCTCAACCCAGAGTTGTCTGATTCTTTTTTCTTGCATATTACAAACATGTATCAATTATTTTTAAAACAGAAATTACAAAAACAGATATTCTCATTACGCACTTTTTTCTTATAGTAACGTTTGACCTTACAACTTCATTCATAATGGTAAAATGATATCCTAAGAAAGTAATTCATTCCAAAAAGGCGCCCGGCAATTGTAAAATGATATCCTAAGAACGTAATTCATTTATAAAAGGCGCCTGGCAATGACATAATTTAAAGCATACAACTTGTCTTACATAGGGAATGTAAGATAGAGTTTTCTAGTACCGGTGTAAATGGTAGATAATCCTGTCTGGTATGCAAGAAAATAATATACTTAATACAGTTCTGTAACATTGAAACTGATTAGGCACATGTCACTTATTACGAAACTTGCTTACCTTAACTTAACTTACACACTTTCTTTCTTAACCTAGATTAATTAACTTAAACTTACTTTATCAACAAAACTAACTTTTCCACTTACTTACTGACTTCTCACTCGTACTTATAATACCTACTTAAACAACTAATTATACTTGCTTAATGAATTATTTTACCTAACCTTCTTTGATTATTTCCTTAGCAACATGCTTTCCATACCCAACCTTCTTTTACTATCTTATTTGTAAACTTACCTACGCTACATACTTACTCAACTACTTTATCACTAGGCTTCTGAACCAGAACAATATCCTACAATAATAAAACTAATAGATCTAACAAAATCTTATATCTAAATAGCGAGGGGATTATTAATACTTACAGTTTTCCTAAATATCCAATAATCAGTAGCATCAAGGAATGTATGAAGTGCCCATTCTTTTAACAGACCACGTGGAACCATGTTATTTTGGACCTCTTTAAGTATATCCCGCAGCACCTGGTGGCTGGCCTGTGTGCCACGCGCCTGTACTGTCAGTAATCTCTCGTAATATCTTGCAATAGGTGCATCATGCTCGATACTTCGCTTGTTACATCTCTACAATATTAAGTATAATTATAGTATTAGTATAGTATAATGTACACATATTGTTTAAAGGCCCATTATGCTCAAGAAACGCTATCAATGTTATTTCTCAAAAACTTTTTATTCTTAGTATCTGATAACAGTTTCTGAAAAATACTTGTTGCCATATGCATGAACATTTTTTGCTACTTTTGTTCTGTTGGCAAAAATTGGTATAATTATAGTGAATTAGTGTTATATATGGAAGTGAAAATACTACTTTGGTCAAACCACCTCAACTACTGGAGTTAAGAGATGCATAGACTCCAGTTATTTAAACCCATTCAGTCACCTCTTACTATCAAATAGGGATAAACTCTGGCTGCAATTCTTATGCCTCAACCAATAAAGGAAACCCCTCAGCTTCAAGGGGCACAGGTTTTCAAAACATTTTGTACTGGAATGTTACATGTTTTGCATTGTGTAATTCAGTTGTAACATTGTAAGCTACAAAACTTGTGCACTGAACAGATGAATGAAAATATTATAAATATAAACTATATACAGATGGTAACAAATTTCATTATTTCAGAACAAGCTACTAACCTGTTTGTATACATCCAGTAGTGAAACAGAGGCTGGGTTATCTTCGACAAGTCTCATCTGAGGGGAGACTGCTACGACCCTCGGCACAGTGAAATACAACATACGTCTACTTGTCTCCTGAAAAATCATTTAAAACATTTGTCATTTTGTGGCATACAATTCATACATCTTTTACGAAAGTAAGACATTTTGAAATTGAATTAAATTTTTGCATTTTGTAAAACATTTCTTGTTTATTCTGTCCTATACATACAGCCTCATGGCATTATGTTTTCAGTTAATGTTTCAAATAAGACATTTTTCCTAGCACTCAAATGACCTTACCCTATCTTGAAAAGGGTGCATGTTTATGCAAGTTAAAAAATTTATTAGATTAAAGAAATGGGTCAATATAATTTTTTAATGGATTTTACGTTGCAACAACACAGGTCATTATCCCCCAACCTCATAATGACAATATCCCAGCTTTACCAGTGGTGGAGGAAGACCACAGGTGCCCCTCTTGTGCATTATTTCAGGCACAAATGGGCACCTGAATAGAACCACTGACATTAGGTAAGCTAGCTGGATAGCTTTCTCACATCAAAGAATCCAAAGATGCATGGCTCAAACCTAAAGCAGTGAGAGGCAAGCAGTTTGAAGACAACAACCTTAACCACTCAAACACAGTCGCCCCTTAATAGATCTAAATTCTATGAGAAACAGCAAGTAAATGTGACACAAGAATGGGAAAGGACAAAAAAACAGGTAACTATATGATCCATAGAAAAAGTTAGGGAAGCATCAAAATCTATGTATACCTTTTGTTTTGTAAGGAAATGATTCAACATCCTCAACAACTGGAGCACTCTCTCCTCTCTACGAGATTCTGTGAGGCAAGCATCATTGACAACTAGGTACGGGTAAATCTGAATGATAGAACAGGATAAGAATAATAAAGATCATGATAATTACTTGCTACATTTCCAGAAATGGAGTGTGACCAATATTGCCATAGTGACAAAACTTTTGTAAATTGAAAACTAAGTAATTAGCAGAAATTAAAAATATATCTTGACACTCCATAGTTGATAATCATAGGAAAAGCGATTAGAATATGTATTTTTTATGCATGGAAGCTTAATTTTAACAGTATGCTGTAAGGTAGGAACCCCATTGGCAATGACAAACTTTTTTACGCTGCAGCAATGGCTAAATAAAACAGATTAAAATTACATAGTTTACAAGAAGATAATAATACCAGATCAAACGATTCCGAATTAAAAAGGGGCCTAACTTAAAAAATATAGCTTTTGCCTTTCAGAATTATGCCCCTTGTCTAACAATTGCACCTTGTCATAATAAGCAAGTATTTCAAGTTTCATGTTCATAACTTTAATTGTTTAAATAATGGGCTACATTAAAGATTTTGCAAGATGACAATGACAGCATTGAGGATGTCACAGTTATCACAATGGCTTGACCTTTTAACCGAAACAGACCTGATTAAAAAGGGAAAAGTAAGTAAAAGCTGAAAGAAATGGATAATATACCTTTCCATTATGGCCTCGGATATAAAGTCGTCTAGCGGCAGTATTATGTTTCTGTACAATCTCTACTCTAGGCATAAACCTAGCTATCCTCACATAGTAGTGACTATGCTGTAATAAACAACAGTATATTATATCATAGAATTGCAACAACAATATTTAGTTTATTTTATTTTGTTTAATTTTACGGTGCACCAACACAATTTAGGTCATATGGCACTGAAACAGGAAAGATGATTTTGGGTATTACTTATGTAGTAAATGACCATTACAAATTAAAATAATAAAAGCAACGAAATTCTAGATCCATTGTAATATGAAAATTATGAAAGTACAGGTTTGCCTGGCTCTATACTGGTAGCAAAGGCTAATCACTTTAGGTTCCACCTGATAAAGGGTAAATACACTGAGTTTGACAATAACCAAATAAATAACAAGTAAAAATAATCACAAACAAACCTTTGGCAGCAGAAATTCACCAGGTAGTTCCACCTCAGCCGTGTTGAGAGAGAAATTACTCAAGAATCTACACTTCTCTTCAATCAAAAATGACCTGAAATAATTACCAAAATACAATATTGCATAAAGCCTCACAGAAATTCTAGTAGCAAGCTCATCTTTACACTTATTCTAAATCATTGACCCATTCTTCTTTGAAATCTAAACAGTCCATTGTTAGTTTAATTTTAATTTCAAATTGCCATAATTTAATTGACCAGTATGCAGTGTTCAGCCAGTAATTAGGGCTCAACTGATGTGCAGATTTGCCAGACTCTATACTTGTGTAAAAATGAATCCACTTTAACATATTACTGCTGTCACTTAATCACTTAAGTGGTCACACTAATGCGTGACACTGAAGGTCCCATGACAACCGCCATACGAACACATCTGCAGATATTCAAAATTTCACCAGTTCATGTTAAAATCAGCAATTAGCTAAGCTTGCAAATTGCCACTTCTGTCCATTAACAGGCTCAATTAAACTGAGCCTGCAACATTTTCAATTCTACCATGTTGGGCTTTCTTAAGTGATTCTATTTTTTCTCTTTTTTTCTTTTAGAAAATCAAGACTTCAAAAACAATTCAACAGTATACAAAGCTATCAAGGAAAAAGGTTACAGAAAATTCAGATGAAAAAACAACATGACGTCTTGTTGAAGTGCAAAACTAAGAGTACTTACTTTGGTAACAGTTTTGTCTTGGCCTCCAGAATTTTGATCCATTTCTTCAGCTTGTTTATAAGATTGTGAAGTTTTGTTGAGCCTGGTACACTGAAATAGGGATACAAAATAGCAATCACAGATCTGTAGACCAGAAAACCAATTTTTAAACAGTTTGTTTTGTTTAGTATGGCGCTGAAACAGGAAAGATGATTTTGGTTAATTTCTTGTCTTACAAACTTAAAGCAACACAAGTGGTCAAAACCATCAAGCCTGCTGGAACTAATAGATGCATAGACTCCAGTAATTCAAACCATTTCATTGTCTCTTACAATCACACACGGATAAGCTAAGGCTGCAACTCTGATGCCTTAACACTTAAAGGCAACCCCTCAACACATATAGTCACAAATACTGAGCAGTTTCCTTATCAAACGGTAAAATGAACATAAAGACAGAAATTCCTATCTATAAAATGCCCTACAAGGGCTGATACCAATTATAAGCAGATATAATTTATGAAATGTGTAGTATATAAAGGAGCTCATGGCTAATTCATTAAACTCTACCTGAAATCAAAGTCTGTGGTAAACTGGCTTTTCATCTTCTGGAAGATTGGATCCTGTGCCGTGGCCTGAGCTCTCCTCGCCAGAGACTCGGACGCGGCACTAGAGAAAGTGGTGACTACGTTGGAAACATTCTCGATACCAACACCAAATGTACTGACCAACTTCTTCACAAAGTTGAGGGTATGTGGAGTAATTGTAGCATCAGCAACTGAAACAATAAAAAGAATTGCAAAATAAATGCTTGATTTCTACAGATTCTTTTTACAAAAGAATGTTTATATAGTTTTTACTCAATTGGAGCAGTGGCCTAGTGCTAAAGGTGTCAGCCTCTCAACCCAGAGATCATGGGTTCGAGCCCTACTTAGGTCACCACCATGTTTCTTCATATGACATCAGCACTGGTTGGTTCCAGGAGGCGGACTCGAAAGTAATTACTATAAGTTGCAAGAAGTTGTTTTGCAATCAAGCTTAAATAAATATGTTTAAACTAACTCAATTGGTACCATTTTGGCCAACAATTTATATTTTTCTAATAATCAGAAATCAGAATGTACTGAATGTAAATGAAGATATTTATGTTTGTTTGTTTGTTGTTTCATTTTACACCTTTTCCCAACAGTATTTCAGTCATATAGGCGGGTAGTTTCCTAACCATCGTTCCTGGAGAGTTACGCCAGTACTAGACTACCTTCCTCCGCGCTAAAGTACCAAAGCATCTCCCGGGGATCAAACCCACGCCCAGAGAGGTAACTGGATTAAAAGTCATCGACTCTAACCCCTGGACCACGGAGACGGTTAGATATTACTGAAGATATTATCAAATGAAAATAAACTATAGTCAAACCTGTGCATAAAACCATCCCTGATCGAAGATTATATATCAACTACTAGTTGGCCATTATTAAAACAGTTTCCAATTTCAAAAATACACCAGTCCTGTCATATCAAACCATTTTTCCCGTTACAAAAAGGTTTGTTGGGCTGTATATTACTTTATCATAAAATTGAAGTATTAAAATGTAATATGCAAATTTCAAATGATTTTCTTTCATAAAATTCGTTTTTTTTCACTTACCCGAGGCTCTATTTTCAAATGCTACAGCGTAACATTTCGCCAGACCTTGCCGTAGCTGGCGGAGGACCTCCTCATACCAGTTCTCCCGGAACCAGACCATCTGGTCAACGATACCCTCTAGCGACGATAGGATAGTTGGGTGAAGCTCGCGCTGCATGTGCATGATCCGGCTGCACCGCCACATTGGAGCTGGTGCACGTATCGGGCCAGCATCCGACTGACTTGAGCTGCCCCGTCCCGAGGCGGAACTACTGGCAGTGGTGGTAGATGTGGCAGTTAAAGTGGTGGAACCTGAACTTACTGTGTCTGAAAATATTACAAAGTTTTGTCACATTAAAGTATTTTTTCATTATCTTTTTTTTCAAATAATGTGTAATGCACAATACTTGGAAAATCATAAACTGAATACCAACAATGCTGCAATGATTCCTAAACCAGCCTATGCTTTAATGTCATAATATCAGAACTGAACAACAAATTAAGTCTATTTGATTTATGGCAGAATATGGCTTTTATTGGCTTGAAAAGTTTACAACTTTCTCCTGCCAAAACTTTTTTTTTTATTCAGAACTAATGCATTATTTATTAATAGATGGATTGTTAGATGTAAAAGAAAAGTAAATTTTATTGGATAGCTTCCTCACAGGGAATATATCAAAAGTTCCTAGTGGGTAAAGGGCAAGGGATTCAAAGTAGGGGTGTTACATTTATCAGTTTAAACTGGTACATTCAGTTTTTAGCTAAAAACAAGCCAGGAAACTTAATAACAGGTAACCAATGTAAGTATAAGACAAAGTGCCGATTAAAAAAAAAATTCTTAACACTACTTTAGTTTTTAATAACAAGATATGACATTCTATTTATATTTCAGTTGTTTTCACTGATTGCATGCTATCTTATCCTGTTCGGTACCGGCCTTACGTAAGATATTTACTTTTTATTCAGACTTCTATTGTAATCATTGTTGAGTACAAAAAAAATACAAACAATAATGTTATATCTTATGAAGAATCAAGGTTAATGTTGAAAATCTAAGAATTTTATTTCTTCAGTCAGTTAATTGTTTAACACTATTATAATGTTTATCATTTTTGCTAACCGTGACACCCCTAATTCGAGGTCACTTATTTAAACCAATACCTTAACAGTTTGCTAATAGATATATATTAATATTGTAGATGTTACCTGTAACAGAGAGTGTGGGTTCTGGCGTGGTTGGTACAACAAGTCCTGGTGTTGTAGGTGACATAATCTGGCCACTGGAACCGGAACTTGTTGTCGTGGCAACCTGAGAATTACTCCTGCTTAATGTCATCTCTCCACTCTTGTCTGTAAACACATGAATATGAAAATTATTTATCTCTGATGATAAATTGGCATTACTTAATATTCATGTCAATTCAGTATGACAGCATGCTCGACTATTATTTGTGCTCAATAGTAAAATAAGAGCCTAGATAATGTAGAATTTTCGAAGTTTAAAAAGGGCTATGATTCTGTCAAAATCCATGTTTAGAGTTATGGACCTAGAATAGTGACCTCCTATTAGACATTTGCGGTTTATAATGAGGAACGGGGATTGCGGATCGAAGACAAGTTATATAAAGGGATTATCTCAAAATAATCTAACGTTTTATAATAAACACGGTTTCTAAGTAACGGATAACACGGGCATTGTAAACGATAATTTGTGTTTGAATTACGTGATCTTGTCCTGAATAACATTATTCCTGTGGCTCTACTTGAGGTGAGATGTCCCATCAATAGCCCTGACTGCCATATGTACTCGCATTTGTTTAATGAGTATTTCAAATAAAAAACATGGAATTAAAGCCCGGATCACGTCTTTCACTGACGATACACTTATACTTTAACGTTAAGTTGAAGAACTTGTATCTATGTGTGCATTTGAAATTCATTTTTGCCAATTCAGTGAAAATCGTGGTGGGATTTTAAGCAAGCAAAAATTCCTACCGAAATAAATGAACCAGATATTTAGTAAGTATGATTAGAAGAAACGATGAAACTACAAAAGTATTTACATCATAAATCAGTTACCCTAAATCTGCACCATTCTTAATATATTTTGACATCGTGTAAAAAATAGCTTTTAATGCCTTGGTAAATTGCAATAAAATTCATCATTGTCTATTTTACTGACGCATTATGCTGATGTATTTTTAATATCTATATAATTTATATCCTCCATAAGCCTTTTAATAGACAGTCTTCTTCGACTGAAGAAGGTTATAAGTTCGAGCCACGTGATACCAAATACATGAAAAATGGTACTGACAGCTCCTGGTTTGGCGCTCAGAATTGAAACAGCAGTGATTAATGTTTAAGATATCGAATTTGATGTGGGAAATAAGATTGCGCACTGTCAAGAGAACCTACAATAGACGCACTATCAGTATATGACTAAAAAAAGTGTTGAAATATCTAAAAAAAACTGATCATTCGGAAGCATTAAAAACAGCAAAAGAAATCATGAAATCGAAGACTCGGATTGATTGGGTTGATGGATAATAAAAAGTGAAACAACCCTTACTCCCCTAGCACCGGCTTAAGAGGTACTCAAATCTCAACACTTAAAAGTGCTGGACTCAGTTATCTTAAAAGAGCAGAAAAATATAGCAACACTGAAGTGAAGTACGGAGCACATTTTACGACTGCCACACTGTACTGGACACCTGCTGCTTTGATGTATAACTCCAATTCAGTAACTCACTCCATTTCAATTTCACATTTCAATATTTTCAAAATATTGCCAGCGCTTTAGGCCGTACAACGTCTTGAAAGATGTCTTTTGAGTGTTGGATTTAGTGCCGAAATAAAACACATTTAGGTGCAGTCCCTATGGAAAGACCGGGCATCTAAACTAAGGGCAAGCTTAAGCGGCTCACATGCAGCAGTCATTGCTAAGTCAAGCTCTGATAAATCTTAACAGATGTACAAATGAGGGCCAACATGGACAGCTGACCAGCAGTTTCGCGAGACAACTCGAACCCGGATCAGTCCCACGTAAACTGCACAATCGAGGCCGTTGTCAAGACGTCAAGATATCCGTGCTCAAGCTGTAAAACGTTTTGACATCATCAAAGGACGAAACTATTGATGCACGTCAGTGCACTAGACAAAACAACCGTCAACGCAAACGACCACTGGCTGAGCTTATGAGAAAAGTTCTGAATTTATCTAGCTTCAGTTCCTCTTGCAATTACTAAAATGAAAATTAAAATGTTAGGAAAGAAACACAGTAAGATATCCTGGCTTTATTTCTAGTGTTCATATTATGTGTTGAGATGACCCCTCAATATTAACGTAACTGTTCCTCGATAATCGTTCCCGACATAATGTCGCAAATGTCTATTATGATCTTAAATAAATGTGTGAAAATTTAACCCATTCCCAAGAAGTTTAAAAGATATCAAATTGCACATATAAACTTAACCAAAATGTGACACTGACGCTAAGGTGCTCTCCCTATTCTTACAATAGTTGACCTTAAAATACAGCTCTAGTTATTGCTCTGTGTCTAGCATAATTATAAGCTTCATAAACTATATGCACCATGAAGCCAAATGTGAAGTTTTAAATAAATAAATACTTTTTGTACAAAGGACATACATTTAAAACCTTTACAAGGAATTGTCGAAAAATTACAATGATACTTAATCTTGTTTCCTCATCATCAACAATGTCACTTTTCAAAAGAAGTCAATAAAGTTAACATTCATAATTGTCATTCAAACTTACATCTTTCTCTTTGTTCAATTTTAAGTGTCAAGTATAAAGTCCTTATTGGGAAGTAGACAGCTTGTGGGTACATCCTTCCAACTTGACTCAACAGGTTCATAATTAGACGTCCCTCATTTCTAACCAGGCATGTCAACAACTGTGGAATCCTAAACACACAAAATATAAAGAGAAATAGAAATTTAATTTACTCTGATATTGGGTTTTAAAACACATCAACAGCGTTAGAATAATATGACAACTTTTTTAGTTCTACTGGTGAAGAATAACCTATAATGAACCACTGCTTTACTTGTGGCACTGAAACTATAGATCATTTTGAAGCCGGCAAAATTGATCAATATTAACCTAGCTTGACATCTATTTAATACGACAGTGTTCAACATCCAAGTTGGCATCTTTGGAAGCAGCTTTTACCACTGCGTCATGTTGATCCTGCTTTATGATCACAATTCTGAAAGGCAACCCCGTTGCCACAAAGGGAACTGACTTGAATATATTAAAAAGGTTTTATTTATTACCAAGGCAACCACTGTACTGGCGGAACTCCTACACAGTATTTATCCACTGCCTCAGCCAGGGTAGATTTTTCATCATCATACGTCAGTAACCAGAGAACTTTAGCAAGGTATTTCCGTGACTTGCTCTCGTTCTGGTGCCGACATGCATGCAGGAAACATGTGATAGCAGATACGCCAAGGTTGATTTGTCTACAAAATATTTAATACAAATATATACATGTATATTTATTGTAACATGGCTTATAATTTGCTAAACATATCTGTCGATTTTTACGGGCACTATGTCATTCAATAATTTTCAAGTATATTTGCAGCAAATTTAAGCACATTTTAAGCACTTTTCAAGAGAGTACACAAATTAAAGGATATTTAAAAACCTTTATTTTCATTTTTAAGCATTTTTTAAGAAAGGGACTCAAACTTTAAGCACTTTTAAGACTGTGCAAACTCTGTAAATATAGAAATAAACAATTTAAGAAAAAGACTCAATGTCACTCACTTGTCCCTGGTGAAGACAGATTCTAGATAATCTCCCCACAATGCCCATGCTTTAACGAGAGTATCATGCATCTGTACAGCTGCCGAGAACGACTTGTTAGCATCATCAGAGCGACCTGTCTGGGCTAGGAACATTCCCTTCAAGGCATAAAACTCTGCTGTCATCTCTTTGGTGAAGTATTTCAGATTGGTTGACTCTATAACTTCAAGTCCCTACAAATTTCAAATACAAATTAAATATATCAGTTTTTATTTCACAAAAGTACTAACAGCAAACCAGGAATAGTTTAAGTTCAGAAAAAAGGGAATAGTTCTGTAGAAAGTGGTAAAAGATCAAACTAGTAATCTAAGGATTGCTGGCCACATGGGTTCAAATCCCGTCAGGGGCAAGCTGTTGTTTCCATGAACAAGAAACTTTACATTCATTGCTTAGCACTGGTTGGTTCAAGGAACGGATTGATAAGTGTTTCAATAAGTGTATAACTTCCAACACAATCAAACTAAAATAGATTTGTATAAACTAAACTGAAACATTGAGGTCTGTCTAATTGGAACAAACAAGTCAAAATTCTTGGATTCTTTGTGAAGTTGCTGTTATTTAAATTTAAGAGAAAATACTTACTTCATTTAACTCAGGCTTGCCCATGGATCCAGCCATCTGTAGGTAACATTTCACTTGCTGCCTAATCTTCTGGAAACAGTCCACTATCGGAACACTGGGTATTGTGTGAATCCTTTCATAAAAATGACGCGATACTTTTAATTATGTATCCAAAACATATTAAAGAAAGGAGAAACAAAACTTATTCTGACCTGTTAACAATGATTTCAAAGAAAATTTGTATATTAGCGATAGAACTATCATATAATGCCAGAGAGGTAACTGGACTTCTAATCCAGTTACCTCTCTGGCGTTGGTTCGATCCCCGGGAGATGCTTTGGTAGTTTAGCGCAGAGGAAGGTAGTATAGTACTGGTGTAACTCTCCAGGAACAATGGTTAGGAAACTACCCACCTATATAACTGAAATACTGTTGGAAAAAGGCGTAAAATGAAACAAACAAACATCATGTAATGCTATAAGAATAAAAGCTTTGCAAATAGTCCCTAATTTCAATCACCATACATGAAAAATAAAAAGAAGAGGCATTGAAGCAACCTGTTCTCATATAGATAATAGAGTTTTATCAGCGTAATTCCAAGATGTTAATGCTGGTTACTATGTAGGGAACCACTTGCACAGTCTGTATATTCATTACAGATAAATAACTCATCGGCTTTCATTCATTTAAATGACAGCAAACAATAACAAACACAAGCCCAATGCATAAACTCATGGTCAAAAGAAGTCTATTGTATACACTAAGAACTACTAATGTATTTTACCTGCTGAGGGAGTCGAGGCAGACACCTGACAAGTTGTGTTTCCTGGCAATTTTACCGAAGTGTATGATAGCCTGGGCCGAGGCATGTACTCCCAACATTGAATGATTGTTTTGCTGAAAAATATTTATCAAACATACTTCAATAAGGACTGATATTTTTTATTCAAAACTTGTACAGTTTGGCTATATATAACAAAGTAATTTTATATTTGAAGTTTAAACCAAAAATTAAAACTTTGTTATACTATTACATTCCATATAATAAACAACTTGATGTGCACCTTAAGTAACTCAGTGATTCAAACCATCTTGCTCTAGACCTTAAAAATATTTCGGTCTTTTATTTTTAACAAACAGTAGAACTTTAATTAAGTGGAAGTTAAAGGAACTTGCATAAAAACTTTGACTCGTGAATCTGTCTCAATTTAATAACAAATTCACGAGCCCTCGACATTTAGAAGTGAGTTACAAAAGGCGTAAACAAAAGGAAATGGCAATAACTAAACCAGCTTATAGTAAATATATCCCTTGTGATTATCACGCAACACCGGGTCAAGCAAATTCACACATTCCAAACAGAATCTATACTGTTAGCCAAGGGGAGACAATCACAACTAAACATTACCTGATCTTGTGCAGCATCATAATGGTTTACAATGAACTGATAGTGGTGTTGTCTCCAGGTAAATATATCACTCCAGTGAGACAGGTCATCGGATATCATAGGCAGACGATTCCTGTAAACAATAACAGACAAAAATTATAATACAGAAATAAGAAGTGTTAAATAAATTGAACTCTTTATGGATAAAAAAAAAAAATGCTTTCAGAGCCACTCATCCTGGGGGATGAGAAGCTTCAAATTTCTACTGGTCCTGCATGGTATGCTATTCTGGTCTTGCATTTGGGCATGATGAAAAAAAAACCCAACCCCCCTGACATTTTATAAAATATATAGGGCAAGATACCTCCAAGTTTTGACAATAGCTTTCATATCATGAAGACTAGTACTGCGGGTGATGTTGGCCGGTTGTAGACCCTGGTTGATCTGGGCAGCCTCCTGTAACTCCATGATCTGCTGTGCAGCCTGTAATATACGACAACAATTTGTTACTATAGTGTGAAACCAAAATAAAACTTAAAAATAATGGAACCAAAGTAAACCTAGAAATGCAGAGACCAAAATAAACCTAGAAATACTGAAACCTAAATAAACCTAGAAATACTGGAACCAAAATAAACCTAGAAATACTGGAACTAAAATTACCAAAATAAACCTAGAAATACTGGAACCAAAATAAACCTAGAAATACTGGAACTTAAATTACCAAAATAAACCTAGAAATACTGGAACCAAAATAAACCTAGAAATACTGGAACTAAAATTACCAAAACAAGCAATTATCATAGTATTGCAAGCAATCCATAAGTCCCCTACCGGTAAGAGCCCAAGCAACATTCTGAAGGGCCATTGGCCATTCACTTATGTTCCTACTTTAAGGTGACAACAGACACTTTCCGTGGGACTCACATAAATGTCATTTAAACCAAGTTATTTTTGTAATAATTGTTATTCATTTAATCTTTGTGCATTAAATGTCGTTGATCATCATAAAAAATAACATATTTGAAAAAAATGCCTTTGTAAATGATTGATTTTGAATAAAAATCCTAAAATTTTAAATCGTCATATCAAAGTCATTTTTTATTTTTTTGTCATCAAACTTTTGGAAAATAACCATACTTATATTATCTGGGGAACCGTGTCTCAAATTTTTTATATCATTTCTCAAAAAAATATTACGTAACGTCAAACATTTTATGCGACTTTTTTCACCTCACATATTACGTAATTAAAGATAATTACGTCGCTGATTGAGCAAACAAAAATCCCTGACACGGTTCCCTCCGTAAATGAATTTCCTTTCATGTGCTTTAAACCGCATGTTAATTGCTTGATTATTAAAAAAGTTATGCCGATTCAAAGTTAGTCCGACCCGCATCAAACGAAGTGTCATAAATCGGCTGTTCTCTCTCGGACCCCTACGATTCACGCTAAATAATTGCATAATACACAAATATCGCACCAGGGAGGGTCACAAGTTGCGGTAACATACTCTAACAACATTTTATGACTCAGTGACATCTGACCAATTAAAAAGCTGCTGATTAATATCAGTTTATAGCCGAAATTTCTTCAATTCTTAACGTGATTTACTGCCCGTCTGGTATCTGTCGCACATGTCACGTGACTATCGGTAAAATTTGAGGCACTCAGTGGGGGCAAATGGAACGCATTTGCGCACCGCTAGCGGGGTATTTAATTGTTTCCTATTTGAAGTTTATTATTATTATCATCAGCATTATTATTGTATTATACCAGTGTCACTCTGCCTGTGTATTCGTGTATTAAGTTCCGTTAAAATATAAAATAAAATATCAAAACACTGTGCTTCTGACAGTCTTTTAAAGTCCATGGTAGATGTACAAATAAGAACGGGATAGTATATATTTTTTCCACCAAATTGATAATGCTTCACATATTTTAGTAGAAATAAAAGGTATTACTCGTCGGAGTAATCATTATTATGTGGTCTCTTGACTTCTATTATCATGAATATCATCTATGCACGGCATAGAGATCCAGTTTCTACCGGGATAGACAATTAATTTCATACTTTGTCCCAGATTTATTAGTACTGTGTCGGATTTACTGGCGAACACTTTATTTTCACTGAGAATTTATTTTAATATCTTTTTTTATTCATAGAGAAATAATCATCCTTAGACAATCTAAAATGGTTTAGAAAAAGTTGTCAGGGACACCTTACCACAAGTCATATAAGCGTTCACATAAAAAATGTCGTCTGTTGTTGTTTTACTTGACATTGTTAGAAAACGAGGTTGAATGTAAAGTTAGCCCTTGAATCCGTACAAAAGTCTATCAACTCAATGTAATATATATCAGATTAACGGGACAGACAAATTATTTTCACACATTATGGATATTTTAGCAACTACATTTTAATCAACCCCGTGGTCGTGCGATTTGCCGCTATGCTTAATTATTTATGTTTCATACATTATGTTACGTACATTGGCCGACAATTTCTTAATTTATAAAAAAGGCTAAATGTTGAGATATTCATAAAAGATGTACGGTAGATGAACGATACATGTATTACGAGAAGTATGGACCAGTATGGACCTGTAATTCAAGGATATATGGAACTACCGATTACCCTCATTGATGCCTCAACAGGGGGCGGAGCGTTATCGATAATCGACAGGTTACGCGAATAGCAGATACAAATAGTATAGGTACCGTTTTAAATCGTTTAAAAACACATATTTTGGACTAACTGCTTCCAAAATTAAATCACGAATGTGTTCAGAAAAGGTTGATAAATCTACATAGCAAAAAATCTCATTTTAGGTATTTTCAGTGATAATTGACTCCGTTGTCACCTTAAGTAAATTTGTTGAAAAAGTTCTTTAAAAGTGATCACAGGAAACAGTTTTTATGTACAGACAGGCGGACTGAAGGACACTCTAAAGTTATTTTTTAAACATCCCTGTTATCAAAATATAACATTTTTAAAATCCTATCATGATTGAAGAAGTTTGAGTAAAATTTACCAATTTCTCAAAAAAAAAGTCTAAGTTCAAAAGGGGCATAATTCTGGAAATAGTCTTGCTAGAGTATTGAACACTCACAAATGTTGAGTGATAATAAGAAACATTTATATGAAGTTTGAAGTAGATACATTCAGAAAAAGAAGTTATTAAAAAAAAACAATGTTTTTGTCATGAAAATTTTAAGTTCAAGGGAGGTAATTCTGATAAATTTTGTGCTAGAGTTGTAAACCTTGTCACATATGATGTGGTTGATGATAAGCAACTTATATTTAAAGTTTGAAGAAAATACCTTAAGAAATAAAGAACTTATAGTGATAAAACTTAAAAACTAGAATCAGAAATCTTGAAATTCAGTCTATTTGTTGCCATAGCAACCAGAATTTTCAACATAGGAAGATAAGAAAAGGATGTGCATAATTTCCATACTGCCATCTACCCATATGTCAAGTTTCGTAAACATATTTTCAGTACTTTTTGTGTTATCACTGGATCCAGGTTATGTGTAAAATTTGCCATATTTTCAGTCTATTTGTTGCCATAGCAACCAGAATTTTCAACATAGGAAGAAAAGAAAAAGACGTGCATAATCTACATACTGCCATCTATCCATATATCAAGTTTCATAAAAATATTTTCAGTACTTTTTGCGTTATCGCGGTATCCAGGTTATGTGTAAAATTTGCCATATTTTCTGTCTATTTGTTGCCATAGCAACCAGAATTTTCAACATAGGAAGAAAAGAAAAAGACGTGCATAATCTCCATACTGCCATCTATCCATATATCAAGTTTCATTAAAATATTTTCAGTACTTTTTGCGTTATCGCGGGATCAAGTTTTGTGGACGGACGGACAGACAGACAGACGGAGGGTAAACCTAAAGTCCCCTCCGGTAAACCGGTAGGGGACTAATAAACCTAGAAATACTGGAACCAAAATAAACCTAGAAATAATGGAATCAAAATAAACCTGGAAATACTGGAACCAAAATGAACTTGGAAATAGCAGAACCAAAATTAACCTTAACTAGAACTGCCACTGTCATGGCGTGAATACCCCACATACCACTTTGTCAGAATCAACAGTGGCCATTTAGAGCTCAAGGACAATGTCCCTGCCAAATCTGAGCCAGTGCATTCTTAGTTATGTATTCTACTTCCTTCAAATGTGAAAATGTCAAAATCAATACACTGCGGACAGGCATTCTTAAGCAATCGAGGGGAAATTTTTTTAGTTGACCTTTGACCCAGTACCCTCAAAATCAAATGGGGTAATCATGACTAACCTCCATGCCAAATATGAAGACTGTGGGTCAAAGGAATCTTAAGTTATTGGGCGGACTCAAGGCCGCTGTGACCTTGACTTTTGACCTGGTTACCTCAAAATCAATAGGGGTCATCTACTCGTCATGACTAACCTCCATGCCAAATATGATGACTGTGGGTCAAAGGAATCTTAAGTTATTGGGCGGACAAGCTTTTTGAAGTCAAGGCCCCTGTGACCTTGACCTTTGACCTGGTGACCTCAAAATCAATAGTGGTCATCTACTCGTCATGACTAACCTGCATGCCAAATATGAAGACTGTGGGACAAAGGAATCTTAAGTTATTGGGCGGACAAGAAAAAACCGAGGGACGGCCGGACGGCCAAGCTGATTCCAGTATACCCCCCTTACAACTTTGTTGTGCGGGGGTATAAAAATGCTAGGACCAAATTGCATTACAAATGGGAAAACCTCGCAGGTAACCAACCTGTAAGAGTGGAACATGTATATGTGTGACAATATGAGGTAACCTCCTCCATTCTTTAATTGCCAGATTACTGGACAGCTCCACTAGTCTCTCAATCTGAAAAGATAGGAAAAATAAAATTACCTTACACATTTTTCATCTGAACATCATATAACAGCCCAACCTGGTTGTTAGACAAGAGTGACCCTTGTGTACAAGTTTCCTTATAAAATGATTTATTCTGTGATGTATACAGTCATGTTTTCAAATGGAGAAATGGAATAGTTTTCTACAATGACAGACTTATTTCAATATGTAAATGTATTTTATTTGTATGTAATTTATCCAAAGTCCTTAACCCCTGCCGGAACTGAATATATTAAGCCTTTGCTAGCAGTATAGATCGGGGCAAGAATGTGCATGGGTGCAGTCTGACAAAGGTCTATACTGTTGGTAGCTCAGTTGTTAATTTTTCATATGCCTTATAATAGAGCTGTGGGCAAGCTTTCTAAGATTAGGCTATTTAACAAAATGCGCATTTTAGAAAATGTTCAAATAAAAAATAAATTATAAGCAGATTTTCTAGATTATAACAAAGGATAGCACTACAACATAAAGACTTCACAACATTTGAAAAAATATTGAAATACTGAACATCTACAAAAGAAGATACACAATACATATCACTTAAATAACATTAGAGCAGTTTCAAAACACTGGAAACAAATTTTTTGTTTGTAGTATTGTTGCTTTTTCCTTCCATCAATTGCTTACAACCTAAAACATACATTCATTCATACACTTGTAACAGTCACAAAATTGCCTATGATTTCAAATGATTATATGGGTATCATGTGACTGATTACGACTTTGCGGCTGGGTCCGAAAGATATTAGTTCACATCATAGCTCTTGTGACTGTTATTCATTCTTTGGGCCAATAACCACCTTCTGGCCCTACTCTTCCATGTATTTATCTTTTATTCATACATTTTAAAAAATAAATTTTTCTATGAAATTATCCAAATAAAACTAATCATTCAATACAAAATATACTACAATACCGAAAGAGCATGCGTACCAAAGACATGTACAAAGCACATGCTTAGTACCAAAAGTTATATTACTTTACCATAGTTACCATATTTAAATGATGATCGTCAGGGTGACAGATGGCGATATACCCTCGATACAAGTTCACTTTCCACGCCATCTCCTTAGGGCAACTCAGTTCAACCTACAAAATATGCCAAGAAAAATATATAATAATATGATTTACTTAACTATCAAGTCTTAAGACATTAAAAACCAACTAATGCTAATAAAAGACATGATAACTTGAATTGACATGGGGCAACCTTTGTGAATTTCCAACCTATACATTGCAGGTATAGAGAATCACAGCTAGCTCAGTTTTTTGTGCTTCAAACAACATAAATCTTCCATTTGTACACAACAGACATTTCGCATGAAGAAATATTAATGATGATGCAAGGGTAGAATTTAATTTTAGATTGGTTGATTTTTACCCTAAAGGAAGTTGTATCAATTTTCGTCAATTCACGAAATTCGCCAATATTTCCACATCGCTTACTTTTACAGTAAACAGATGCCTAGTTACTGAACTATTACATCTAAACATTTTACCATGAATCTATGTCAAGAGAGGCTTAATACATAATTCAATCTTCTTTTATTCTGAGTATTTCAGGGCACTATTATCACAGATGAGTTTACCTGTGAGAGAGCATCCTTCATGAGCGCCCAGTTTGGTACTCTCCATGCACTCTCTAATACAAGATGAGGGTTTGTGTTGCCTTTAGAGTTGGCGTACTCTAACAGATGATCCCACTGATTCAACTCTTTAGAACATCTACAATACAAACAAAAAATCTTATAACTATATGTTCATTTCTCCAAACAAACATTATCATTATACAATAAATTCAAACTTGACATTGAAACTCTCAAATGTTGTACCTTAATTAACTAAAAAAGAGGGATATTCACTAATAGTTATTCCAACAAAAGGTTGAAACATTGGTTTACTATGGTTCTTTGCTTTTTTTTTCTTGATTGAATGCTGATTTTAAGTCAGAGACAAAGTGACAATCTACTCAACCCACAAAGACAATTTGACACTTTTCGGAGATAAAATTCAAAAAAGCATAACCAAGACACTCAAGATTACAAATCCTGTGCTCTCCCTATCGAGATAAGTGGCAAGACTGATTCTTATGCACAAAGAATCCCACAAAGACAATTTGACACTTTTTGAAGATAAAATTCAAAAAAATATAACCAAGACATTCAAGATTACAAATCCAGTGCTCCCCCTATTGTGCTAAGCTGGCAGACTGATTCTATGCACCACGATCTGGAGCAAATCTACAACTACATGTATATATGTTTCACTGGCAAGCTTTGTGGGACATATTAAATAAACGGATCTACAAACCTGATCCAATGGTCTTCCCACAGTCTGTATTCTGGTATAATGGTGGGTGACGCTGCCCCTGCATTGTGGTCAGATCGTGCTTTCGCCATTGCCTGTAAAAATATCTTATACATGTACATAGTGTATATCAAAGATGGGCATCAAAAGCAAACTTCTTGATGAAAACAGTTTTTAATATGATTAATTACATAAAGCATTAGTAGTCCTGAAAATCTCTATTATTCATTTTATTAAAGTTAAAGTAATAATCATTAACTTTTATTGATGCTTTTAAACTACTGTTTCAATATATTAAATTGATGAAAATACAGTAAATAATCAAGTAATTTTATGGAACTTCCAACTGATCAAATTTTTTTTAATTTCTAGATGCCTACATGCATTTGATCCTTTGGGGTTTGTTTGTGGTTTTTTTTTTTCGTTTGTTTGGTTTTACGGCATAACAACATACTTCAGGTAATATGATGTCGAAACAAGCCTGAGCTAAGAGATGCAAAGACTCCAGTAATTCATCCATTGAGTCGCCTCTTACAATCACGCAAGACATACAAGGGGCGCCACCATTATTAAGTCCGACATAAGAAATACAGAGCTATATATGTTACTCACTGCTTCGTACGAGCTCTGCGACTGCTCAAAGAATCCGTGTTGCTCGTACGCTATGGCTGTATTGGTTTCTGCAAACTTCGATCTTTTCTGCCAAAGCCCTGCCCACATGTCCTCCTCCTTCAACAAGCTGTAGAGGTCACATAGGCCATCTAGCGTCTCCTGAAATATTATTACCACTTTTTGTATTATCACACTATCTCTTTTCTTTCCATACACAAAATTTGTACTTTTCATAGATCTCTTTTTTCTTTCAAATACATTTTTTACTTTTTGTATATGAAATCCCAAACAAAAACAAGAGGGCCATGATGGCCCTGAGGTCGCTCACCTGTATATAGGCCCCCGAAGCTGGCTAGTTTAAACCCCAGGGCTTTTATTTGAACAAACTTGGAATTAAGACACCAATTAGAAGATGTTTCATGATGTTAAGTTTTTGCTATACACATATAAGAAAAAACAATGACCTCCCCCCCCCCCGGCAGAGTTAATTTTAACCCAAGGGCTTTTATTTGAACAAACTTGGTAGACACCCATAAGAAGATGTTTCATGCTAAACATCTAAGCTCTAGCTCATTGGGTTTTTTTAAAAGAAGATTTTTTAAGTTTTTACTATACATATATAGTTAAAAACAATGACACCCCTGGGGCGGGGCCAGTTTTGACCCCAGGGCTTTTATTTGAACAAACTTTGTAGACACTTATTAGAAGATGTTTCATGCTTAATATCTAAACTCTAGCTATTTGGGTTTTTTCAAAGAAGATTTTTTAAGTTTTTGCTATACACATATAAGGAAATCAATGACCCCCGGGGCGGGGCCAATTTTGACCCCAGGGCTTTAATTTGAACAAACTTTGTAGACACTCACTAGAAGATGTTTCATGCTTAATATCTAAACTCTAGCTATTTGAGATTTTTTCAAAGAAGGTTTTTGAAATTTTGCTATACACATATAAGGAAAATCAATGACCCCCGGGGCGGGGCCAATTTTGACCCCAGGGCTTTTATTTGAACAAACTTAGTAGACACCCATTAGAACATGTTTCATGCTAAATATCTTAGCTCTAGCTCTTTGAGTTCTTTAAAAGAAGAATTTTTAAGTTTTTACTATATGCATATAGGGAAAATCAATGACCCCCCTGGGGCGGGGCCAATTTTGACCCCAGGGCTTTTATTTGAACAAACTTGGTAGACACTCATTAGAACATGTTTCATGCTAAATATCTTAGCTCTAGCTCTTTGAGTTCTTTAAAAGAAGAATTTTTAAGTTTTTACTATATGCATATAGGGAAAATCAATGACCCCCTGGGGCGGGGCCAATTTTGACCCCAGGGCTTTTATTTGAACAAACTTGGTAGACACTCATTAGAACATGTTTCATGCTAAATATCTAAGCTCTAGCTCTTTGGGTTCTTTAAAAGAAGATTTTTTAAGTTTTTACTATATGCATATAGGGAAAATCAATGACCCCCTGGGGCGGGGCCAATTTTGACCCCAGGGCTTTTATTTGAACAAACTTGGTAGACACTCATTAGAAGATGTTTCATGCCAAATATCTAAGCTCTAGCTCTTTGGGTTCTTTAAAAGAAGATATTTAAAGTTTTTTCTTTCGGTTGCCATGGCAACCAGAGTTCTGCATGGAATTAAATTCTTTGAACAATTTTTAAAGGTGACCACCAAAGGAACATTCCTGTGAAGTTTGGATGAAATTGGCTTAGTGGTTTATGAGGAGATGTCATTTGAAGCAAAAGTTTACGGACGGACGGACGGACGGACGGACGCCGGACGAAAAGCGATCACAAAAGCTCACCCTGTCACTTTGTGACAGGTGAGCTAAAAAACTTCTGTATATGAAGAATAGAAAATCTGCTACACAAATTACTGTTTATAGCCTTCATCAAAATCTATAAATGGATAAACCCTTACAATATTAAATTTTTTTAAATGAATTCTAAATTTGTGTAAATTAATCATTAAATTTGTGTAAGTAAATTCTTAATTCATGTAAGTTAATACTAAATTTGTGTAAACTAATACTAAATTGGTGTAAATTAATACTTCATTTGTGTAAAATGACTTGCAGAGCTTTGATTTTGGAACAGTCTATCATTATGTCAACAGAATTCAGGATTTAAGCAATGAAACAGAGCAGCCTGCAGTTTATAGTGTTGTTAGACAGCATGGACCAACTTTTAAAAGTATGAAACAAACACGCAGTCATTGCCACCAGCATTTTTAAGGGTCTAACCAGACATTCAACACTAACCTGTCCTGGAGCATTAGATCCCGAGGGTTCAAACTCGTATTCACTAGCACCGCCTCTTTTCACAAGACCTGATGGTGCATTATCGAAGGCGATCTGTTCCAGGAGAAGACAGGATCTATACCAGAGGTTGTGTGTCCTACCCAAATACTGCAACAAGAAAAAATATCAGCGTTTCAACATACAGCATTTGGACACAATAAAATTATTAGTTTCAAAGTATACTACACTGTTCATTTAATCTTGAAAACAAGCGAAATATGTTATCCAAGTTGCATTTACACTCAGAACTCTATTTGGCATGTCATTTTGAACAACATAAAACTTTTACTACAAACACTATTTTTAAGCTTAACTCAAGATCAATTTTAACAGAAATATTTCAACTCACTGAGGATCAAACCAGCAAACCCTTGAATACAAATCGTAAACTCGCCCTTTCATACTAAGATGATATATCTCTTATTCAGCAGAAAGAAAATTATGCATACAAACTTGAAGAATTGAACATTTCTGTCTAATTCAATGTCAAATAATACAATAAAATCAAATGCAACTCAAGTCTGTTACGAGTATTACCTTGAGTATACTAGGTCTGATAGGTACCGGTGGTACACAGAGGGCCAGACTCTCCACAAACGTGTGTATTGCACTGGGATGACAGTCCTTCTGTCCAACATGGCTGCCACTGCACATAAAGGGAACTAACTCTGCTCCTAACATCTGAAATAACAAAATTACATGTACCATAATTATTAATAAATGAAAGCAAGTTACACAGTTTGTCTCTTGATGACAAGTGAGACTAGCATTCAGGGTTGTAGCATAAAAACAAAAATTTAACACACAATACTAACAAAATGATAGGTGAAATAACATCAAAATAAAATCATATGACCAATTTTATACCAGGGAAATAGCCATTATAATAGGTAAAGGTCATCCAAGTGAGAGACTACACCTGGCCTTTACAGACAAGTGGGCTTTATTCAGAGGTTACTCTGTTCTCTTTAATCAATGGTCATCACAGAGTGGCCTTTATTAAAATGGTAATCCATATTCAAAGGTGCTCCTTCACACAGGATTGACTGTACACGACAAATATTAATTTTCACACTCAAACAAAAATCAAGATGATGATACCTGTTGTTGTTTTTCGGAGAGAACCTTCCATATCCTCGGGTATAAATCCATCCACAATATATGACTGAGATCTGTTGAACTGTGGCATAACTGACTTAGTGCTCCCAAATACTGCACAGTCTGTGAAAAATAGCAAAAAAATATAAACGTAATAGACACAGCCCTGTTTGAGTTTTTTGTTTAACATCTTTATTTTTTAAAAATACTAAGCATTTGTAACATTCATTTTCATTTCACAACTGTGATGTTTTATTATACATGTATATATATACATGTTTGGTAGCTGCTGTACAAGAATGAATAAATTTTTATGTGTGTCTTTTGTTTTTATTTTAAATAAGATTTGGATGATTTTTTCTCTTTTTTTTCCCATGAAAATTTTATTTCAGCATTATTAATTTACTTTAAAGGCTTTTAACTGGATATATGACCTTTTATAAACAGTTTCTTGCTATATAACCTTGACCTGGCATCTCTGGTTATATAACATACAACTCTTTATACAATGCCATATAACCTATCAATAAAAACCTCAAAGCTAAGTGTGTAAAATTGCAGCCATTACCCAGCATCTCTAGTTATATAACCATACAACTGTTTATATGGTGTCATATAATGTGTAAAACAAGAAATAAATTTATATCTAGAAACATAAGTGTCATATAACTTGTAAAAGAAACACAAGTGTCATATAACTTGTAAAAGAAACATAAGTGTCATATAACTTGTAAAAGAAACACAAGTGTCATATAACTTGTAAAAGAAACATAAGTGTCATATAACTTGTAAAAGAAACACAAGTGTCATATAACTTGTAAAAGAAACACAAGTGTCATATAACTTGTAAAAGAAACATAAGTGTCATATAACTTGTAAAAGAAACACAAGTGTCATATAACTTGTAAAAGAAACATAAGTGTCATATAACTTGTAAAAGAAACATAAGTGTCATACATGTATAACTTGTAAAACAAGAATAAAATTTAAAACTATAAATATAAGTGTATTTATCCAGCCATTATAATTCTTCTATTAATATTTCTCACCTTTATTTCCCGACAGTTTTCGAGGAATTTGGCCTGTCTCTGTAGTAACGTCTGTAAGTTCTGTTTAGGGTCTTGTATCTCCTTCTTCGGGGATTCTTTCTGTGTAGCCTCATCCGATGCTACACCAAGTTCTATATCTATCTCATCCTGTATTACATTTAAATGATGTCTTATTTATGTTTTTGGGAGGTTTTATTGTTTTGTTTTTTTGGGGTTTTACCAACACAGTATAGGTCATATGGTGACTTAGTTTTACTGGTGCAGAAAGACCTAAGGTGCCTCCAAATGCATTATTTCAGGCACAAACAGGCACTGCCCCCCCCCCCCCCCCAGTAGAACCACGACGGAAGTTTAAGAGGTTAGCTAGATAGCTTCCTGACAAAAAGAATCCATAGTCCTCTTCGAGATTTGAACCCAGAGCAGTAAGGGTCAAGTGGTTCGAAGTCAATGCCCTTAACCACTCAGCCACAGATGCCCCTCTTATTCATGAGTAATCAGATATGAGTTTATTATATTTTCATAATATGCAATTTGGTTTGAAATAAATAAAGAGATTTCAAAGAATGCAAAATTTTTCAATCACTGCTGAAATTTTTGTTTTGTGGAGTTTGAAGTAACACTGACAATGTAAAGGTCATATAACATATTTACTGATGAAGGAAAACCTTGGAAGCCCCTTTGTGCATTATTTCAAGTACAAGGGGGCACCTGCATAGAAGTACCAATTTCCATAAATTAAGTGGAGCACCTCTATATGTTCCATGTAAAAATATCGTTGTAAAAATATTGTTACTTACGTCCTCTTTATTTGAATCTAGAGCCTCGATATCCATGGGTTCTTCTTTCATTTTCATGATGGTGGCGAAGTGAGCGCGATCCTGACTGTCTGCCAGGCTAACAATACTGCTGGCCGAGGGTAACAGGTTGAGGGAAGAGGCACTCTGTATAGTGTGACCATTTACTGCCACAGACATCAGTAACTGTAACACAGAATACAGTTTTGATCAATTTGTTTGATTGGGTTTTACATAACACTGACTAAGTATAGGACGTATTGTGATCTTCCTGCTTTAATGGTGGAGGATGAACTCTGGTTCTATTTCGCTTTAGAATAACTACGGTATTAAATGAGATGTGTCCCGCGCATGCGCCAATCAGTGTCCTTGCGCTTCCGCAAGTAGTAAAACGTGGTTTTACAAGTTGGGAAATAATTTATCTTTTTTGTGATTAAACGGCTTGAGCGAACGTAGTTCGTTAATTTAAACTGTATTAAATAGTAGCCGTAATTGTTATCGTACGTGGTATGAACATTATTTATCAATTTCGGTGTTATATCGAAGGATATTGGAACTTGAAAATTGCCACACGTGGTGGGGTAATAAAATAACATAATGGCGGATGGCCAAACTAAAAATCAAAAAAGACATTGATAATGTCACAAGTGGTAAAGCAAAATCTAGTTCAACCTCAAGTTCAAGGGGAAAGCAGACAGCTCGTAATTTGGCGGAGGATTTACCGTCAACTTCGAAAACTAGTGAAAAGTCGAGTGCTAAAAATGTCGACAAAAATGACGAGATTTTGAATAGTTTGAAAGCAATTAAAAGTTTTCATCAAATCATGATTGAGATTGTTACTGCAATATCATGCTTTTGATGATATTTTCGAAACTGACCTGATAATTTTTTTATATAAGAAAACAAATTTATGACACAAACATTTTTTTCATCAGCGCAGATTACATTTTTTATCAGTGAATAATCCACATATCATTGCCTTAGTGTAGTAACGGGTTAACTCTTATTACATTATATAAAGTGTTAACCCATTACTGCACTACGCCGCAATATTTAATAAATTTCACCATATAAGAACAAAATGACAATGCAAAATTAAAGGCTTTCATATCACACTTCTCAAAAATAATGACTCAAAAAATGACCAATTTTACATTTTTCATGACAAGACTTTCTACAAAAGTTTTACAGTACATCATCAAGTTTTTAATCACACTCTACTGTCATATAAAGAAACTTTAATATTACCTCAATGCACTGTTTAATCCAGAAGTGGCCTCCCATCAGCTCCCAGTTCTGGGAACACGTTATATACAGAAGGCGTTCAAACACTCTACGTGGAATACTGCTGTTAAAAACCTGCAATATATTATAATCGGTTATATACAAAAGGCAGTAAAACACTTTACAGCTGTTAAAAACCTGTATTGTTACAAAACATACTTACAAATATTTCAAATATGTACTGCAAAATCATTATCAATTGTGGGAAACTAATTTTTCGTAGTTTTTTCTGGGTAGGTCAATCCACGAGTTAAAGATCCAATAAAATTTCATTTTGCCTACTGTAAGATTAATTTGCATCACATTAATTATGTTTTACAGAAAAAAAAACAAATGTTTCTCGTGACAAAACCATGTCAATTCATAGTAATAAGAATGCACCTATCATTACATAACACTGACCTCGACAAATTTCTGTCTGATATGAGGCTGTTGACATCGTAGACCCGACAGGAAAGCCTGCTCTAGTTTGGTAGTCAACTCTGTACCACTTAGACCTTCGTCCCTGAAAGGCAAAGATTTATTGGTACATTTTTTATGTAAGTACTTACTTTTTTTACTTGTTTTCGTAGTTCTGTTTAAGTAATAGGAATTCTTTTTCTTACTTTTTTTCTTTTTAAAGTAATAAGAAGCTTTGTTTAAATAACTGGTTAAGAAGGACTTCAGGAGCTTTTAAGAACATAATTTCTGGTACGAGCGAGCAAAAGTGATAGACTGACGGACGAACGGACAGATGACAGAGAAATGATCCCTATATGTCGCCACTATACTTTAGAGGCAACAAAAAAAGACGTATTGTAAAATACATTTTAATGACTTACCCAAACTGAGCCTATATTAAAAACTTAACATTTTACATTAACAAGCATTAAACAGAAACATCATTAACAAACGTTACCTGTAAATGTAGATGACAAGTTCCAGAAACTGTGCACTCAACTCTTGGTCATCATTAAACCTCTTCTCTATATGTACCATCAGTTTCACCAGCAGGATAGCCTTCTCTCTGATAGATGGTGACTGATTCAATGCAATTGTTCCCTGGTAAATAAATATAGCTATTGTATAACAAACATTCATTTAAGTATATGAAATAATGAAATGAACAATTTACGAACTCATGGAAAATGTGTTATAGGGCCTT